TGCTTCGAGCAGCAAATGATCCGGAACTCCCCTCGCTTGCGTCCTGCGACTTGCAATAAGCCGAAACTCCATGCTTTCCCCAGCCGACCCGGCCCATCAGTGCCCAAGATTTCACGGCGTCCTGCCAAACATGGCTCGAAGGCCCTGCAGGCCCCGAATTTTGCGAGCACCACGTCGTGGAGGAGCACTCCTCCTCCGATCATCCACGAACGCACCGTTTCAAGTGCTCGCAGCCGCTCTTAGCTCTTGCTTTAGACGTCGATGCTTTCCGCTTGTCTGACAATCCTAGGCCAGCATCTGTCTCACTACCACACCGTCAGCTGTGAACAACCACAAGCTGGAAACTCTGGAAAATGCAAAGCACAAAGAGGGACTTGGCACAAGCTCAGAACCTCGCCTGAAGTCTGTGCCCTGTCGGATCTCGGGCCAGCCCGGCCGGCTCAGCCTCGATGCATCTTGGGGCATCTACTAGATTCATGCGCATTCCCATCGGGTTCTAGGATCTTGACCGCAGCTGGCTTCAGCTACATGCTCTTAAGCGACCATGTGGCACGGCATAGCCTTCACTTCTACAAAGGCTTGAACCTACGTCACGTGTGCGGAAAGACGTCTCTTCACACGATATACGATTCTTGAATAGATGCACCAAGCGCCGGGCCTGTGGGGACTGGGTCGGCCCTCTTCTGCGTCGTGGTGCCGAATCTGAACTTTCTGATCTGGCTTGGTCTTCCTTGCCGCTTCATGAGAAAGCCTGTAGCCTCTAGCAGAAACCTTTGGAGCTCTAGCACGAAACTGCATCGTGAAGGGGCCAACATGGGAGACTGGAAGAGAAACCTGCTTAGCCGCTTAGACTTCTTCTGTTCAGGCTACGTCTCCTGTGGCGCAGAAGTAGTGGCTGCCTTCTCTTCGCATCCAGAAGCTCCAGTGGAAGAACATGTCCTCTAAACCCAGCTCGCCGGCCCCTCTGCAAAACCGTCAAAGCTCTTGGGCCCTTCTTGGACAGAAGACGAACCGTGCATAAATTCCCATCAACGCCTGTCGGAGCTGATATCCCCCTTTCCAAAACCCTCCCGGTCGGTCGGTACTGCACAGCATGGATTTCCATCACGGAGAAGAAGGATTGTTTACCGGACCCGTGTTTAAGTTTACCCTCCTGCTTTCCAGCCTGGGTTGGGAGATGTTGGGACTTCTCTCATTACAGGAGGTGTCCGAACATGAAGGCGAACCTAAGCATCGGCATTGTGATACTAATGACCGGGCAGTGTATTAATACCCTAAGACAAGACAACAGCGACGTACCAAAAACCATTAACTTACCATAAGGAGCAGCCGCTGTATAATAAGTAGTCATCGGGGCCAAGAGCAAGACATATTCATCTCAACACATACTAGCGAGAAGTGAAGCAGAGCGTCATGGACAACAATGACGGCAAACAATCCGGATGAGAATGCTGACACTGAACACGACGGAAACAAAGACCTATGAGCCTGTAAGCACCACTCGTCTCAGCTCGGCCCCCAACCAGGCCGGCTTCACTCCTCGGCTGATACTCGGGCGCAATGCAGAAACATCCAGCAGGAGTTGGACCCCGGCAAATTCCGATAGAACTGGGCCCTGATGTATAGACCCCCCTCTCCCGCCTACCGTAGGAAAGAATGTGAAGGAACGCTGCTCTTGCGTTCGTAAACCGGGTGCCTACATTGCTACAAACACACGGCTCCTTCAACCCGAGCCATCTGGTGAAGCCATGGAAAACCTCGCCTTACAGAATATTCGTGCTTGTACTTGTGTTATATGATTACATGCCTTAAACCCTTGTGCACGAAAACTGAAGCCGGAAGGATTAGAATAGGGTGTTGCGCTATATTCCACTGTAGTGTATATAGGGACTGCAATGGAATACGTACTGCTTCAAGCCACCTCAAGACAAAGCCTACATGCCAGCCAGTCACGAGCTCTGATCCTTGAGAGCGGTCTCGTCCTGAGGGGCTCTGAAGTCCTATTCTCTGAAAGTTCGGCAGCTTGGGATGTCGACTCTCGCACTCGCAGGTTGGGGGTGTAGGATTCTGGAAGACTTTGGGTGTAGGCTGTGTGGGATTGAGTTAGGGCTGCTTTTGGTGTAGGGCGTGCTCCTACCTCCTACAGAGTATCTTTGCTACGGCTGTGCGGCTGGTCCAACCAAACGTCTTTCTTCAAGATTGTTGAATCCAGATCTCTAAAAGTACCTTTCCTGAGACCCTCACCCCAAAATTAACGCTGTGGACTATGGGAACGAGGACTCATCACTTTTGCGCTGTGCCGCGATGAAACACCACGATTTGATAGAGAGAGAGAGAGAGCGAGCGAAAAAGAGAAACAAAAAAAAAAAACGCAGCTAGCCCTCTGACATGGTGTGCGACCGCGCTGTCATGCTGTTCGCCCAAAACAGCATGGCAGCTCCGGCTGCACGCCGCGTAATTCAAAGTGGCTGAACTTCTAAACACGAGCAGTTGAAGCCCCACTGCAGCACACGGCAGAATTAAGGCCGGAGATTCCAAACGATCCTTGCAAGCGGCAGCCGTCTTAACAGGTTTAGGGCCATCTGCCATTGCCCTCCTTGCTCGCAGGCGCTGATTCCGAGATTAAGACTGACCACATTGGGGATCACCTTTCTCGAAGGCATTTCTGCCAGAAGTTGCAAAGCTATCTGCCACCTCTCCCCCTTTGCACAAGCGCTGATGCAAGCACTGGTGGAGATCACGTTCGGTGTAGCACCGGCTCCGGGAATCGCAGACCAGAGGTCCAGAGCCATCTTCCACTGTGAACGCCGCTCACAGGCACTGATGACTGCGCTGAAGCTAACAATGTCTCGCCGTACTCGTGCCAAAGGCATCTCTACAAATAGGTGCAACGCCAGCAGCCAGTTCCCTGCCTTTTCGCAGGTGCTAATGCCAGCATTGTAGCACACATCAGTTGGTTCAACTCTGGCTGTTGGCATCTCTGCAATGATTTTCAAAGCAGCCTGCCAGTGCCCGACCCTTTCACAGGCGCTGATGCTCGTGGAGTAGCTGACCACGTTCGGCGTCAGCTTGGCCATGGGCATATCTGAGAGCAATCGCAGAGAAGCTTGCCACATGCCCCGCTTTTCACAGGCAGTAATGCTCGCATTATAGCTGACTACGGTTGGTGTTAACCGTGCTGCGAGAATTTGAGACAAGAGATGCAAGGCCATGTGCCACTGCCCTCCCTTCTCACAAGCACTGATACCGGCATTGAAACTGATAACGTTTGGCATAACCCTGCCTGCTTGCATTTTGGCCAGCAAATGCAGGGCCTCCTTCCATCTGCCACACTTCTCGCATGCACTGATGGAAGCACTGTAAGATATTACGTTGGGAGCCGCTGCAGCTGAAGGCATTTGAGAAAATATTTGCAGTGCCATCTGCCAATGCCTGCCCCTCGCGCAACAGCTGATGCTAGCGTTGAAGGTGATCTCATTCGGCGAAATTCTTGCGGCAAGCATGTCCGACAGCAAATGCAAGCCCAGTTGCCAGTGTCCCGACTTCTGGCATGCACTTATGCAAGAATTCAAGCTTACTCGGTCCGGTAAGACTCCAGCTGCTGGCATTTCTGATAGCAGTTGGATCGCCATCTCCCAGTGCCCACCCTTCTCACAGGCACTTATGCCAGCACTCCAAGCTATCGCGTCTGGCTGGATTTCTGCCAATGGCATTTCAGACAAGAGCTGAAGGGCAATAAGCCATTGTACACCCTCGCATGCGCTGATGCAAGCACTGTATGCAAACAAATTAAGTGCGGCTCTGAAAACCTCCATGTCCAACATAATTCGCAGTGCAGGTTGCCACTGCAGGGCCTGCCCGCATGCTGTCATGGCAGAGCTGAAGCAATACACGTTGGGCACTGTGTCGGCGGCTGCCATGATGGCCAGTAATTGAAGTGCTGCTTGCCACTGCCAGGTGCGACCACACAAAGAGATGACCTGCCGCAGCTTGCAGTCAGTCGTGAGTGATGTGACATCCTTCTGATTCTGTGTTGGCTTTACGACTTTAAGTCCTAAGACGGCGCCCGACAAATCAAACGCTGCTCTCCAACCTCTCGGACCGCTCTTTGGTCCCCAACAGCAGACATAGCTGATATCGCTGCGGCACGCTCCAGCGCTACCTGCCAGCCTTTCTCACGAAAGGCACAGCTTGCCTCTACACGTACTTCCCAGCCAAGCTGCCCCATGGCCCTCAGGCAATTAATGGCCACACCTTTTTTGAGGCAGCCTTCAGGAGCGGTCGCACGGCAGGGGCACCGTTCGTAAGCCGCGAAAATGTCTGCGAGCAAAACTCCGACTCTTTCATGCTGTGACTTCTCCAAACAAAATGTCAATGTAGTACCATCTTTAACTTCGTCACTGCTTTCCTTGTTTTGTAGCCACAATCAAAAGCAAAACCCCAAACTCCAACAGAACAAACCCTAAATCAGGATCCACATTCCCTGATTTACCAATCGCTTCCGAGACCGCAGCTGGAGAAGGGCTTGCTCGAAAGCTGTCGCTGCTCAGCTGTTGACTCTCCTTAGCTTTGCTGCGTGTGTACGCTCTCACACTCCGTCGGGCGGATGCATGTTTCGGGTTTCAATGCCTGCGGCATGTTTCATGTCCTGCAGGTTTAGGATTTCGCTTTAGATGTAAGCCTAAGGTAGGCAAGGATACCTGTACTGCAGAGGGAATGCGGCGCATGCCTGCAAGCGAGACCGTTCTAGTGTTTCTAGTGCCAGTCGAAAATGTGGAGTCAGAGCCTCAGGACCCCGGTTTTTTGTGGATGGACGTGTGGTTTATGTCTGGCTGACTTCTGCCCAAAACATGAATATGATCAACAGCCTGCTCCTTCCTTGCATCTTGTGCTACAGTCGGTTCAGAAAGCGGAGTCCCAGGACACAGGCGCGATATGAAGGACTCTGCTGTTTGGGGATGCCGTCGGGCATTGTGTGCTCGGAGGTGCAAACGAGAGTCTACTTCCATCTCATCGAAATCGTTGTCTTCCTCGACCTGCTGTGCGACTGGCTCTTCCAATTGCTCGCAGCAGCTCAGACGAGCTCTAGCCGCTTTGGAAGCCGAATTCCGGAGGTTTTCGCAGTGTGACGGGGCGAACCATCATGTGGCAGAGGTTTGTGGACGAGTTCTTATTACTGGATTTCAAGCAGAATCAATGAGGCTCGCTCGGTCTCATAATCATAGAACCTATCTGCGAGGTCTACGCCACTACACCACACCGCACACTCGCTGTGAAGGCAAACGCGTACTGACTGAGCACTGGCTCAGGCAGAGTTATCGCCGGCAAGTATGTTGTCTGCATCTTGACTGGAACATGGTCTTTTCTCCAGGCCCTGCACCTCGTCTTCTCCGCTGCATGCAATGTGCTCTGGATCCGCAGCGGCACTGGAAACCTGCATAGGCTGGCGGCTTGCGGCCCAGCTGAGCGCATCGTTGGGCATGATCCCGCTCATCAAGGATATGCGGCTTGCAACAGCCTCTGGAGCAATGAAGCCTACACAGTCCGAGCCAACTTCCTCCTTCAGCACCTTGCTCCATCAGCTTCGCAAGTAACGTAAACCTTCACTGTCACTACAACTTGACTTCCCTTGATGGCACCTCGTCTTCTCGCGTAGCAGGCTCTGGATCTGCCGAAGTCCTGGCCGCCTGCACAGGCCGTGTCCTAGGCCTAGGCTTTGCTTATGACCCCGCTCAAGCTCAGTCCCAGGACAACCATTTCGCGCAGTCCGATCGAATGATGTAGGATGGCCTGTTTTCGTTTTAAGTGCAGGCAACACGAAACAGGGAAGGGTGCCTAGCTAGCCTGGCTAAATTGCGGAGTCGGTACAATCATCTGTCAACCTGAGCAAGAAGTAGCGCATCGCACGTGTTGTGGGGACTCTCGGCATCGAGCGGGCACGACTTATCGCGGCCTGCTGAATTTGGGACTGGGTATGAAGAAAAACAAACAAACTCTTGACTCTTCAAGGCCGCAGGAGTAAACATATGACCAACAATCAATGTTTCCTACCCCGATACATCCCGGCATTGTGCCGCAACTCTTGATACAGGGATCGCGGAGCCAAACACCCCAACTTCCTGTCTGAT